TCTATCTTGCCTAAAAATATTTTTGAACCAAAACAAAACATGTTTGAGAAACAGAAATGAACTTTATACAATTATGGGATAGAAGGGATCAATCCGCTAAATGGAGGGATCGATCCCCTCACATGACCCAATTGATCCCCTAACTAAAGGGATCGATCCATTTTTTTTTCAATAGCCATTCTCATGCAAGTTTTTTAAGAATCAATCGATCCCCTTCCTAAAGGGATCGATTGGCTAGGTTTTTTAAATGAACCAATCGATCTACCCTTTAAAGTGATCGATCCATTTTTTTTATCCAGAAACAAAATAGGTTTCAAAGTTTGCAGAATGGATCGATCCCCCTACACAAGGATTGATTACCTAGGATAGGAGATTGATCAAGTCCCTTACCTAATTGATCGGGTAGTTTGATAATGCACAAAATCGATCTTAATATCAATTGAGAGGATCGATCTCCTATATGAAAGGATCGATCTCCTAGTGCCCAAAAAGCCCTAACAACTTTTATTTTGTTTGAAAATTTATAGGTTTCAAGCATTAAATGCAAGTAACAGCTATCTTCCACTCTTAACATATAAATGAAGGTTTCCCATTACATTTGAAGAGTATGACAAGCTAAGAAAACTTATTACTTTTAACTACCATTTTCTTCAAGTATTAAAGAGAGTTTAGTGAGAGAAAAGTGTAGAAAATTCATATTGTATCTATTTTTCTCTTAACATTCTTCTTAATCCTAATTTGTACTTCAAATTAGTAAACATCCAACCTTAAAAAGATTCTTTAAGTTTGCAAAACACTAAAAAATTTGTATTGTGAGGTTGTGAGCTTAAAAAGGGGATAACCTTTAAGAAATTGTATTATTGATTGTATAAAGCTTTGAAGAGTTAGGATGTAATATTCAACACATAATGGATTAAACTTTTTGGTAAGTAAAGCTAATGGAGAGGATGTAGGTGCCTAAAGGAAACGGCGAACTTCTACAAATTTCGATGTTTGATTTTTTATCTCTATCTTTTACTTTTAGATTATTAATATACTCATATTTGTTATGTTTATTTGCTTAGAAAAATTTATTAGTGAAATTTGTGCTGATTGGATATTGAATTTTAAAAAAATTATTATCAACAAATTCACCTCCCTCTTAATTTGTTTCAAGTCTTTGAGCTAACATTCTTTCTCTTTAAAATTCCAGCCTCGATAATGATAAATCTGGCCATATTCTGAAAATTGTCATTGGCAAATTTAAGGTTACGCTAAAAAATTCAAATGTCCATCATAAAATTCAAAAGCCACTAGAAAGTCGCCAAAACTAAAAAATATTGCTGAAATCTTCATTGAAAATTTCAAAGTATCATAAGAAAATTCAAATTTTTTTCAAAATTTTCTTGAAAATATTTCGAAAATGCTAATTCAAATCCTTTTGTCCTCTTGGATCCTTCAATAATATTGATTTTCTCAAAATTATATTGAATCAAACTATAACAAAAGAATTAAATTCCCAAAAGCCAAATATCCCTAAATCAAACCTATTGCCAAATTATTTTTCTACTCGCTCTCTTTCTCTCCGATCATTTCTTCTTGTTCCTATTGTGTTGAATACTTGGCTATTTATGGATAAAAATCAATAGGGATTTCAACTCATTTAGGATTAATTTTTTTTTAAAAAAAATTAAATTATCACAAAACCTAAATTTTATCTTCAAAACAAATCCCAATCCAATTTTGATGAGGCAAACTCTATCCGAACATTTTTTAAAAATTTTTAATATTTTGGTTTCTTTTTTCCACATTTTTTTTTTTTTTTTTATAAATATAAACAAATAATAACAAGATAATGAGATAAACTAAAAAAAAGGAATAAATAAATAAAATAAAAAATAAAGATAACAATAAAGATGAAATTAAGGTAAAAAAATAAAGTAAAAATAAAAATAATTTGATAAAGTAAACATAAAACTACAAGTATAAATATAAACTATCAAATAACAATAAAACTTATGTAAATATAAAGATAAAAATAAAATAAAATAAAACATAAAAATTTGATCTTTGAATTTAAAACGAGATTGAGCCCAATTGATTTAGACATCGAATTGGATAAAATGACTATGACTAGCTCGATGATTTATTCTAGGAAGTAAACAAAAATTCAAAGGCTAATAATTAAAATGATATATAGTAAATATAGCTTTTTGGGGGGTACTTGCTTAGTAATACTTAGATGATATTAATTATGATGAGTTGAATATTGTTACACAATCTGCAGAAAGCAGACTCACTTATTGTAGTGATTAGCAATTCTGGAAGTTGGCTTTATTTTTCGACCTGACTAATCAATTAGTTTCATGGTACAGTACATAACTACTTAATTATTATTGCAATTGCTTGTCATGCAAGTGTGTTCTTAAATGATAATATCTTACTTAAATCTTAATCTTTTCGCTTTAATTTAATGGTTAAATTTCATAATAATTTTTTATATTATAATTTAATCATTAGATTAAAAAAATCTATTTTTACCTTGTTTTCGTCATTTTTACCAATTAAAGCTTAAATTCAATATTTTAAAAGATTCATATCATGATTATGAAATCAAAGAAAGATTATTCTCATTACGGCCTAATACCTAATATTTTCCTATACATATGTACCCAAATAATGGAACCAATTCGATCGAGGAACGTTCAAGTCAAACATGTAATTAGGGCAACAATTTTGTGTTTTACTGCTAATTCTATTCTTGGTAAATGTTGAGCTTGAATTTTATGTTTTATTTTAATGATCGATAAAAAAAAATTGTTATTGTATCATTGTTTTTAAATTGAATTCTTCGTAATTTTGTTTTACGTATTGACCATTCAAATGAAATATTAATCAATTTATACCGAATAACATGATTGATTCAAAGTTTTTTTTTTTTTTCCAAACATGAACTCTTCTTCATTCTCCTAGATTTTTCGATTCCTTCACCAAAGACTGATGATTTTCTTCATCTTCTTTACCTAAAACTAATCATCACATGTGAGTGCATAGCAAATAAATTAAATGACAAAAACCCTACTTTCGAAACCACTCTTTAAAGTAATTGCCGCCCATTCAAACCCCATAAAACAATCTTTGCTTGATCGTCAAAGTTCCATAAATGGTGGTTAAAACAACAAGACTTTATCTACTATACAAGTAAAAGCAAGAGAAACCCACACTAAAAATCATATTTTAAACCTCTAAAAGCAAACATTTCCACTTTCTTGGTCTTGATTTTTTTTTTTTTTTTGTTGTGGTGTGTTATCATTATTAGAAGATAATCAAAATTAAGTCCTTTTCATTCTAAAGTATCATTACCTTCAAGTGTAATGCATTTGGTCGAGCACCAATCCAAGATATTCTTCTTGTGTTCCTCTTTAACCTTTTTGTTCATCACATGTCCTTCAACTTTTAGTTTATAATAAAATATAACACTTTGAAAAGTGCATGGAAAAGGAGAATTTTCCTGTGAAAATGTTAAAGTAGTTGATTTTGAAGTCATGGCACTAAAAAGAATCTCATGAGGAGGACATATATAATTAGGATTATTAATTTTATATAAAAAATAATTCAAAAACGAACAATTAATAACGGATAACTCTTTAAACTTTATAACGATAAGTATATTCTTAATTAATTGTATAATTTAGTACAAAATTATAGTACTTTTTTAGAATGTTACATGCGATGATATAAAAAATATATAAAAAAATAGTTTATCATATCCCCTTCGTTTGTTGATTTTACAAGCATGAACATACTTTATTGTATCTCTCTACCATGTATAAACCGTAGCTTTTGTAGGGCCTTCAAGGTTTAGGGAATGGGTCAGGGACCTTGCCGATATGTATGACCGAATATAATGAAAAGAGGGCCTTGTTTTGGGTACCACTCTTGTATCCAAGACCCAAGTTTGTCCTTTAATCATGGCCTTAAAACTTTCAAAATTTGCCACAGAATTCTTTGCCGACATACAAGTTTTCATGTTTATTATTCCCATGAATTGTTTCGTGTATGGATAAGAAACATGCTACATATGTAACTTGTTCCAATCAATTTATATAGATATGTTTAAGAAGATTCTGTCAAAAATTTTTAAAGACAGGACAATTTGTTATTGAGAGACACTTAAGAAAAACTTCATGTTCTTCTTGAATGAATTTTGGTTTGTCAAACTTGATTATAACCATTGACCTAAATGATGAGGGCAATTAATGCTTATTAGGTGGGGAAACGACCCATAGCTCTAAGAAAAGAATGGCAAGCAAAGCATTTTCTCCAAATAAACTATAATAAAATGGCTTTTAAGAGGATAGAGGGAGAGGAACTATAAACACTGAAAATTGAATTTTAATTTTATAAGAACTCATCTCTCATTAACGATAGATAAATTATTTGAGCTAAATTTCAAATTCTAAACAAATGATTTTCAATATTTATATATGTAATTGCTAGGGTTATTTGAGATCAACATGATATGATAATTTTTTTTCTTGATAGTTGCTATTAATAGACAAGTCAAGGGCATTTTTTATTTTTAGATTAAGTTGATATGTCAAATCGATTTGATCACAAGGGATTACATCATGAATCTGTGCAATAAATTTTTTTGAGTATTTACTTATCATCTTTAGAGTAGATGATCAATATTCATATTAACTTGATTTGTTAGATTATTTTGAATTGAATTAATCTCAAATAAATTTTTTATATCTTTCTCTTTACAATTGTAAATAAAACTGTATAGGTACTATTTGATCATTTTATTTTTCTTAATTTTTTGATCTTCTCCTTTTTATTTTTCATTGCCGATCTCTCTTAAATATTAAGAGACAAATGCTGAGACCATTCCCAACTTATTACCTCTTATAGTTCACCTCGTACGGTGAATAACCAAAAAGTTGGAATAACTTACATCTTTCAAAATTTTCCTCACAATAAAAGAAACTTCATGCAAATAGTAATAACTCGAGGTAACTATTCAACTTTTTAAAGAAATAAAAGATGCTGAAAACTCTGGAGAAGCTTTGACTGTATATGACATATCCATTGTTGGAAGGACAAGAAGAATGTGATTGATTTTGCATATTTTTGACATTCTTTGTCTCTTAGCCCTTGGGGGACAATCATGCATCTTCTTGAATCGAAATGCCAGCAGCAAACCAGACGAGCCCCATAGTTAACTGCTCCATCCTTTCGGATTTCATGCACAATGTTTTTTCGTATAATTGATTTTATGACTCAGTATTCATTATTTTTGGATTATTTTCATTGTATAATTGACACATAGAAATGCTGGATACAAGCCTAACCTGTCGACATGCAAAATTGGGTACAATTGCTTTCCAACCAGAGGCTTTCTTTTCCCTTTTTATAACAGTAACCAAAAAAACAAAAAAAAAAAAATTTGTGTTGGTATTTTTCCGCCATTACAGAGAAAAAGAAACAGTAGAGCAGCAGTAGAAGTAGTAGTAGAACAAGGTGAAACTTCTCGTGATTGGCATATCCAACTTTTCCTTTCTTTTCCCTCTCTCTCTCTCTCTCTCTCTCTCTCTCTCTTCATTCACTCAATTAACAATTTTCTCTTCTTTCCACTCTCTTTCCCTCCTCTGTCCTAACCCTAATTATACCCCTTACCTTTCTCTAGCTGCCCAAATTTTCTTCCTTTCTCTCTTTTTCTTTTTGTTTGGCATCTTCAAAGGCAACGCTTTTTTGGTTTCTACGTATTTCCCAGTTTCAGAGGTACCCTTTTGATCATTCTCTGTTAAATTTTCTTTTAACTGTTCTGTTTTGGGTTTTTTGGGTTCTAGCTGTTGCTATGCTTTACTTTTTTATTCAATTTCTTCTGCTATGAAAAAATTCTTTGTAGTTGTAGAGTTTTGCATCTTGGTTTTTATTGTTCTTGCTAGCTTTTTATAGGAGGTAAAGTTATTTGATTCTGTAAAGTTATGCTTTTTAGGTTTGAAAGCTTCAGTTTTTATGCTCCTTTTAGATGTAAAAATAGTTGTTTGAACGTGTTGGTTGGTTGTGTTCATTAAGCCAAAAGCCTTGATGTGTGCTTGAGATTTTGGTTGAAACTCAAAGTTAAGAGTTTGTTCTCTGTAGGGCTTTCAATGAAATTGAATTCTTGCTATAAAGGCAGTTGTTGTATAGCTTTAATGGTCCATGATTTCGGTAGTGTTACGCTTCTTTAATTTTGAAAAAGAAATATGAACGTTGATAGTACTGATGACTTGATTTGTTTGACGAGGTTTGGTTATTTGGTTAATTACTTTTAGTGCAGTAGTGAATGAGTGTTGGATTATTCACGTCCTTTTATAGAATTGTGCAGGATCATGCTACTTCAGTGACAGTTTTCTTTCGTGGCTTCTAATTCTCTGAAACTTTGTGATCGTTGTGGATTTTGGGTGCTGTGTTTGAAATTAAAAAGTGGATTTTGACTGGCCTTTCAAATCCGAGAACCATTATGATCCTAGATAATCATGAGGGATACGTGAGGTTGTCTTATTGCTCAGTTCTACACTATCTTCGAAATACTTCTTCGGAAATGGATTAGAGTAAGTTTGCAAAGCCATAGTTCTCTTGTAAGCCTTTGAGTTGAACCGTGGAGAGATGGATACTGTGCCTAGTACTTCTGAAATTGTTGAATCCACTGATGAATTAGATGCTGAATTGAAAATGGGGGTACATGCTAAGAACCACCATATGCCAAAATCAGAAAATAAGTATTCTATAGAGGATGATATTAATCGTCTTTTCGAAGCAATTGACATTAGGACATCTTCTAGGATTTCTGGTTTCTCAAGTGAAATTGGTAGAGATGCTTTACGAAAGAGTGCAATGAAAAGACCAGTTAGAGTTGGCTCTTCTCAAGCTTCAGGGATTGGAATTTCTGAACCTGTGAGTTTGAAGCAGGCACTTAGAGGGTTGTGCATCTCTCAGGCATCGGAGATGGCTGCTATGAAGAAGCGATTTTCAAAGCCAGCAGGTTCTTCAGGGGCCTCAGAGGCAGGAACCATCAAAAGATTATACAGGGCAGTAGTAGTTGAAGCAAATGGATCTGGTATTCCCCTAAATGAAGGTAAAGGGAATTTAGTGGAAATCTCCCTTGTTCCTGAAAAGATTGCGTCCAATTCTCCTGACAAGATGCCTGAATCTTTGCAAGTGCCAAAGCAGGAGGTTTTCAACCAAAATTCCAGTCCTTCAGATAATGCAACAATAGAAAAGGAAATACTAACCAGATTACAATCCCCAGATCAGATTGCTTCTTTGGTTATGGAGTCTGAAAGTGAAGTATCAAAAGCAGAACTTAAAAAACTGAAATCTATAGATTCTTCCTCTGTTAATCATGCTGCTGAGGAATCCTTGGAGATTGGTTGTTCCTCAACTCAGGTTTATGTTGAAACTCCTGTGCCTGATAAGGAGCCAAAGGGCAAGTTGCATGCTGAATCTTCTCTCTCCGTTTCTAGTGCTGCTGGTAAGTTGAAATCTGTTTGTGAAACTCCACGTCTAATCAAGCCAGTCTTTAGGAACAAGAGCTTTATAAGGAAGAAAGAAAAGCACGAATCAACTTCTTCTGTCAGCAGTTCCCATTCCTGTAATGGTTGTCTCAGCAATGATCTTGGTCCTAGTACTAGTTATTCAGATAGGCAAACACAGAAACATGCTTCAGGCAAGGGAAGAAAAGAAAATCTGAAAGTTTCTTCAGTTTCCGGCAGTACAAATCACAGCATTGATGTTAACTCAAGCATGGTGGGTACAAGTTTCAAATCAACTTTGAGTTCAAACTGTAATAACAAATCCAAAGCCCTGTTGACCAAAGCTGATGACAGATCAAGATCAAGGGAAAAGGGGGAGTTTTCCCAGAGCTCCAAAAGTAGCATTGGGGAGTACAGTAGTAGCACAACCACGAGTGAAGAAAGCAATATCAGTGGGTCTAGTCGGAGTGGTAGCAGACCTCACATGTCAAAAGATTTGAGGTGGGAAGCTATACGCTCTGTTCAAAAGCAGCATGGAAGCTTCAGTTTGAGGCACTTCAAGCTTCTCAAGAAGCTTGGTTGTGGGGACATTGGGATTGTTTATCTTGCTGAGCTAACTGGAACAAACTGCTTATTTGCTTTGAAAGTGATGGACAATGATTTTTTGTTGAGCCGCAAGAAGATGCCTAGGGCACAAACAGAAAAGGAGATAATGCAAATGCTGGACCATCCTTTTCTTCCTACACTATATGCGTATTTTGCAACAGAAAAACTTTCTTGCTTGGTTATGGAGTATTGTCCAGGTGGAGATTTGCATGTGTTACGACAGAAACAACCTGGCAGGAGTTTCTCTGAACAAGCAGCAAGGTAAAATCTATCTCTTAATGATGTTAAGATATGCTTTTGGTTTGGAATATAACATTGTTTTGGTGGACTGAAATTTTTAGTGTTCATTGTACCTCGTTTTTAATTTCATCTATTTCTGATTCTGCATGACTAACGGAAGTCCATACAGGAAAATAAGGAAGAGAAAACACTGTTGTTATTTTGTCTGAAATAGATCTATTCATCTTAGTATCTATTCTTCTCGTCATTTATTTTTGTAATTTCAGTACAAACCCACCTTTCATGTTTAAGAACTTGCAACCAAAAAGGAAAAGAAGCAAAAAATGTTTTCATATTGAATTGACATCTAGGATGATTGCGAATTGGCAGTTGCCATCATGAGAACTCATGCACCTCAGAAAAGGATAGAATTTTCCAATAAAACAAAAGCATTATAGATTTTAAGTGGTAATTGTAGGAGTAAATCTTAATCCGAGTTCTCAAATTGAGATTATTTATATTGGTTTAATGTTCATGCAGATGCCATTTTCTTGATTTTGATGTCCCTCAAAAGATCACACAAGTGATGGAGCTTAAATTCAAATTGACAACAATAGATTATTAAGTTTTAATCATAATTAAGATCTCTGTGAGTATTTTGAAATTAGATTTGAATAAACATTATTATGGTCTTTTTAGGCCTTGGAATGTTCAAAATTAGGTGCTCCTAGGATATGGTGAAAGATATGATATACTTGAATATTTGTGATGCTGTGATCTGCATTGAGTTAAATATATTGCATGTTTTTGTCAGGCTTTGGAGTCCAGATTGTTCACCGCTTGTATCGTTAAGTGTGTATTTTCCTATGTCTTTGCTTCTTTTCTTTCCATTTGGACCTGATGCACAACTTCATCTTGAAGAGAGGACCATTTTGTCTATGTTTAGTAGTATAAGATTGAAGAATTTCTGGATGCTATCTTCATCCTCAGTTTCTTACCGCCATGCTTCTCTGATGTTTTTGTTCCAATTTCTGGTTTTCATATACATAGGTTTTATGTTGCTGAAGTCCTCCTTGCATTGGAGTACCTACACATGCTTGGTGTTGTATATCGAGATCTAAAACCAGAAAATATCCTGGTTAGAGAAGACGGTCACATCATGCTCACAGATTTTGACTTGTCACTCAGATGTGCTGTTAATCCAGTGCTGCTTAAATCCACTTCACCTGTTGCTGAACCTGCTGAGAAGATGTCAAGTCCATGCTCTGAATCCAGCTGTATTGAGCCTTTCTGCCTTAATCCCTCGTTTCAAGTCCCATGCTTCACTCCTAGGCTTCTATCGCTTGCTTCCAAATCAAGGAGGATAAAGTCTGACCCAGCTACTCAGATTAGCCCCATGCCACAGCTTGTAGTGGAGCCAACCAGCGCCCGATCAAACTCATTTGTTGGAACGCATGAATACCTTGCTCCAGAAATCATCAAGGGTGAGGGTCACGGGAATGCTGTCGATTGGTGGACGTTTGGAATCTTTCTGTTTGAGCTTTTGTATGGTAAAACACCCTTCAAAGGTTCAGGAAATGACGAAACACTATCCAATGTTGTGTCACATAGCCTTAGGTTTCCTAGTAGCCCTACGGTTAGTTTTCATGCAAGAGATTTGATAAGAGGGCTTTTAGTTAAGGAACCTGAGAATCGATTAGGATCAGTGAAAGGAGCTGCAGAGATCAAACAGCATCCTTTTTTTGAGGGCCTAAATTGGGCTCTGATACGTTGTGCAACACCACCTGAGATGCCAAGGTTCTGTGACACTGGCATCTGTGTGCCAACCTCAGTTTTGCTGAAAAAGGACAGCACCAAAGGCGACGAATTCCTGGGCACAGAAGACCATATGGAGTTTGATATGTTTTAGCTAGAGCTTATCTGATGTGGCAAAAGATGATGTTTTGGTTCTCTTTTTAACAGTGAGGTTTCTGATCCTGTTGTTGTAACTGATATATGTAGCACATGTTGTAAATGTAATTCAGAAAATTGGCGGCAAGTCATTACTATGAGATAGATATACGGTAGAGCAGTTGAGTCTTCAAAAAGTGCAGCCAGCTTCTTGATTTTCATAGTATTGATTCAAGCTTGTGAGCACCACTATATTAAACTGAATGCAGTGTGTAATTTCAGTATATACATTATACATCCATTTCTCAGTTTTCTGCCAGCTTGATTTGCTTTCACCAACGGTGTGAAAGGTAATTCTAGCACTCGCATTCCTGTTCTTTTCACCCTCATAAAATACACTTTTTGCTAATAATATAAACTCCATTAAACGTCATGGAAAGACCAAATATTTCAACATTTAACATGGGCGCTGTCTTGCAATTATTAGCCTGTGGCACTTACCCTGATTTTTACTAGCGTCTGAAGTTTGATTCTCCTTCAAAAAGCAAATCAAGCTGCATTTCCAGCAAAGCTTTTAGACTGTTTTAACGGATTAAAATCAGAAAATTAATTAAGTTAATTTTATGAAGATTGTACTTACGAGATATTATTCATTTTTATTCAAATTTTTTTTATCCCATAAAATAAACTTTATAGATATGGATTTTGGTATCAATATATATAATATAATATTTTCACATTTTTTTAGTGTAGAATTAGAGGCGTCATAATTTTTTCTATTAAAATTTGATATTCTTATAAAACTTAACATAAAACATATACAGATCCAAATAATAAAGATCACATCAAAAATTAAAATTTTAGAAGTAATTCATATTGTCTCACACTTAGCTCTCTTGAATTTATAAAGATTTACACTTAAAGTATTGTCTACTTTAATAAAAAAATTTCATAATTTTATCCTAAAAAAACATTTTAGATATAAATTTAAATCTTAACATATTTATTATATCATATTTTCACGTTGAAATTGGAAACATAACAAATTTATACTATCACTTTTAAAAATCAACATATAATCTTCTTTCCTAATTATGATTTGATTGTCATTAAAAAAAAAATGAAAGATTTTAAACCCAACAAAATGTCCAATACTGAAACAAATTGTTTGATTTGGTTTAACCAAGCTCGTTGCTGAAAGTCCAAATTGCTAAGCAACCCCACATTTCTTCAGGTTTTTATCTCTCTCGGTTTAACTTTAACACTGCCCCAACTCTTTTCAAAGCCAATCCAGTCCCCAACTCTGATTGCATGAGTTATGAGACCATCGCTGAACGGTACCACAACTAGACTATTATCATCAGCAACTCCTCCATATTTACCTTTTTGCCACCACTCCCATTTCCTTTCTCCCAGGGCCTCATTTTCTATTCTTCCTTCTCCATCAAACAAATACCCATCTCTCCAAAACCCCAAATCCCCTTCATATCCCCACCAAAACCCTGACAATTATCCTGCTTTTGGGCTGCTGGTAAAAGCATCAATGGCCTCGTCAGCACCATCCACAGGAGCTGCGACAGAGACAAAACCTTTCTCTGTTCTGTTTGTTTGCTTAGGCAATATCTGCAGGAGTCCAGCTGCTGAAGGTGTCTTTAGAGACATCGTGAAAAAGAAAGGCCTTGACTCCAAGTTTAACATTGACTCTGCTGGCACCATTAATTACCATGAGGTATATATACTTCAAATATGCTAAAAATGGTATTTTTGGACTGAGTTTTTACTTATATCTATGGGCAAATATATGTATGTTTTGGTTTATGATTTAGTTATTAGAATCAGTATAATTGAAGCTTTCTGGGGATACCAGGGAATTTAAATGATCAAGATTGATTCTTTCTAGGATTCCAAGCAATGTGAACGATTGGATTATGTAACCTTTCTTTTAAACTTTTAATGTTTTGATTGTCAGCAATCAATGGCTTATAGTGAAGGGAAAATGGGATTTAAAAAAAAAAAATTTTTTAATTAAGGGTTTTTGTTGTTCCTGAAGGGAAATCTGGCAGACCCAAGAATGAGGGAAGCCTCAAAAAGGCGTGGGATTGAGATAGCATCTATTTCAAGGCCAATCCGGCCGTCAGACTTCAGAGATTTTGATCTTATTCTTGGAATGGACAAGCAAAATAGAGGCATTATTCATGGTTTTCCTGTTTAATTTAACCTTTTGGAAGTCTTATATTTGGGTTTAAATTGAATTCGTTGGTGCTCTGTAACTTTTGATTGTCCAGCTTTAGTTATATGTACCAAATAGTATTAGACATATTGATAGTTATTTCTGATGCATGCAGAGGATATATTGGAGGCTTTTAATAGGTGGAAATTCAGAGAGACACTTCCTGCTGATGGACATAAAAAGGTTAGTAGCATATTAAGAGTGAAGACTATCAGTCAATTATGGAGTAGGTTTTTTACTCTGATTTTTGCACTGATTATTCAGGTTAGACTGATGTGTTCTTATTGTAAGAAACATGATGAAACTGAAGTCCCTGATCCGTACTATGGTGGACCGCAAGGTTTTGAGAAGGTAATGTATGAGGATTCTCATATTTAAAAGTGGATTATAAAACTTGAAATGGGAATCAATTCATCTGGTTCCTCTTTGCAAATTTTTAGAATATGGGGAATGTTTAACGGACTTTCAAGAACAGTGAGCTTTTTAGGTCAGATAGTGTTGTAGGAAAATTTGTGGTAAGGGAGGGAGGCGGAAGCATGCGGTTATGGTGAGGTTGAAAGAAGAAAATGATGAAAGAATAAGAAATAAGGGAGAACATGAGAAGTTATTAACCAAACTTTCTTCTTATTCTTATTCTGGAAGGGAGGGAGAGACAGATTAGAGAGAGCATGGAGATGTTTGTTATTTTGAAAGAAGAAAAAGAAGAATGGAAATGTAAGGGAGGAAATGGAAAGTTCTGTTCAAAAAAGTCTTTTCCCCCTTCTTTATTTTATTTTATTTTTTGGGCTTAGATTTTTTGTGCTAATTCTACCTATGGTATTGGGTTGAATTTCTGAAAAATTTGGTTTTGGATATTAAAGGAGAAATATTTTGTTTCCTCTTTTCCATCCACCCGTTTTTTTTTTACTTTTCTTTCCTACCAAGCGTGGCATAAAATGCCATGTACAATCTTTAGTTTGGTTAATGGAAGCCAAAATTGGTGGTGACGATAACTTCGTTCTAAAGAGGAGTGTCATAACATATAGATCCATGGACCTACCGTTAGATATGAATTAGAGAAGTCGTCACCAATCTTTTTTGGTTAAGTGTGATTAGCCACCTGAAACATATTCTAGTCTGTGAAAACAGATGTTGGATTCGGGAGTCGATTACACATAGGGAAGGTTGTAGCACCCCCACAACGCCTATCCAAAGAATGGTACCAATTTGATTTCAAATTATCCAAGTCTTGATCATTTTGATGATTTACCAAATAATTTAATATTGAAAATTAACTCTAAAATTCTCACAATAGTTTGGTAGCAATTTAGGATAATTCTCTCACTTCAGAAGTATTCATAGAGACTAGTATCCTATTCTTAAGAGGCTTCGTTGTCGGATTTATTAATTTTTATTACAGAAAAATTAGTAAAGCCTCCCAATAGTTTGGTAGAGTTCACTTCAATGCAATCCTTTAATACTTTAGAGGATAAAAATTATTTTTGTTTATTTGAAAATATATAATTTTTTTATTTTTTGTAGTGAAGGGATTTTTTATTATTTTTTTTAAAACTTTATTTGAAAAGATATTTTTTTATCTGACAAGATGTTTTTTTTCTTTATAAAAAAAATTATTTTTAATTTCAGAAACAAAATGTAGAAATAATATCCTTTTAAAAAAAAAGCCAAAAAAATAATACATAAAAAATAATAACATAAAATAAGTGGGTTAAAAATAAAATAAAATCAAAAAATAAAAATAAAATGAAAAAAGAAAAACCTGTGATCGGGTCAGATCGATACCAAGGTCAGCGCGCGGATCCTGAGCTATTCAAAACGACTTCGTGTTGGAGAAGTATAAAAACCACACTACTCAGTTTTTCTTCAGAATTATTTGAGTATGTCTCTTTTTCTAAAATGGTTATTCTTCTGTCTTCTCTCTAACTGATTCTCAAAAATTGATGAATAAATCCCAACTGCTGACAGAGAATTTTCGAAAATCCAATAAATTATCTAGAAAGTTAAACCCAAAAATCTCTGGAATGCAAAACCCTACATAAATTTAAACCCAAAAACACCAAATCCCAATCTTAGAAAATCTCTAGAGTTTCTGCATAATCTTTTTTCTCTCTCTCTAAATGATCCCTTGTTTTGATCACAGGTTTATATAGGAATTTATGCTCAATCAATTCCTCTTAAATCTATGATTTTATTTGATTTCCGTTTTAATGAAAATTTACTCTAAAATCAAATCCCAAAATTTCTCCTTATCAATTTAACGTGAATTGATTATAGAATTAAATTTCGGCAATCTCTTCATATTATTTTTAACACCAATTGATTTTGGAATTAAATCTCAAAATCTCTCAATTATGGTTGAAGCTTAATTTCGAAAAAATATTCCCAAACAAAATGGGGTGCCTACAAGGAGAAGAGGTTAATGTGCTCTTTCTCTCTCTCTCTCTCTCTCTATATATATATATATATATATATATATATAATGCCATCTCCTGGCATGCTTGGCATAGTAGTCCATTTGATAAGTGGGAAAAACTAATTTGATAGACTAAAAATGTATAAAAAATGAGCATGCTGTATGCTGGATAGAAATATGCATCTATCTTTGGTCCTTGTTTAGAAGATGTGGTGTATGTATTTTGTAGTACAGTTAGAATAAATCCTGTTGATTCTTGATTTTACTTTTTGAAGTTAGAAAGCTGTCTGTTTTTGTTCCTTTTTCTTTCTTATTATCCTTGAACTCTCGAATATGAAAAATCAGTATGTGCCACATAGGGTTGGCAACAAGTCAGGTCGGAGAGGAGTTTTGCTCACCCCGAACCCAATCCGACGTTTATGTTTATTAAACTTGAACCCGACCCAAAATTTTTTTTAATACTCGAACCTGACCCGCACTCGATATTATATAAACCGTATCCAATCTAACCCGAAATTAATAAAATATTATTTTTTAAAATATAAAAATATTTTTTTAGATATAAATATTTAAATATATTATTATATAAATATATAAATAAATAATTAAATAATTAATTAAAAATTTTATATTTATATAATATCGGGCTGGGTTTTAGATAAACTTGACCCGATTCGAAATTCGATTTTCAAAAAAAAAAATCGATCTTATGGGGTCGGGTCGGGTCGGAATCCGTCAGCGGCGGGTTGGGTTGCCCACCCTAGTGCCTAGAGTTGGCATCGGGTCAGGTTCGAGGCAGGTTTTGCTCGCCCCGAACTCAATCCGACTTTATGTGTTATTAAACCCGAACCCGATTCTACCCGAAATTTTTTTTTTTTTTATACCCGACTCTAGTCCGATACTATATAAACCATATCCGACCCGAAATTAATAAAATAATATTTTTAAAATATAAAATATTATTTTTTAAATATAAATATTTTAAAATATCATTATATAAATAAAAAATTAAATAATTAATTAAAAAATAATTTTTTATATAATATAAGGTCGAGTTTGTTTAAAATTCGAATCCGACCGATTCGAAATTCGAATTTCAAAAAAAAAAAAATCGACCCCATAGAGTCGGGTTGAGTAAGAACCCGTCGGGGACGGGTTGGATTGCCGGCCCTACTAGTGCCACATGGCTTCACCGAATTTGTAGTGCATCGAGTACTAGTCTTTTTGCTGTAGCTAACTTATAATGTTGCTTCGTTTGTTTAACACATTACTGTCTGTTCTTTATTACCAAATATCCAATCATATCCTTGAACTCCCTATGCTGTGTATTCGGCATCAATTTGCCGCTTATGATTCTTGACAATCTTCTTTGCTGGAGCAAGTACTAGTTTTCTGTGTGACATTAGCCTTTTCAATGTTGCCTTTATCCCATCACCTAATAATGTTACCTCCATTGTGTAACACATCTCTCTCTCTCTCTCTCTCTCTCTCTAGGTAAAGACTACATACATCTTTAAACTGTTTAATCAACTCATTTTAACTTCCCCTTGTTTTGGTGCATTCATCATTTTATGATGACAACCGCTCGCCTTTTATTTGAAAAAAAAAAGAAACAAAAAAGAGATATTATCCCACGGTTTCTTGTAATGCTTGATTACCAGATGCAATGAGATACTGGTCTATCCCTCTTAAGTACTATAAAGTTGTTGATTAGCTAAAACAAAATTGGGCGGTTTCATTTCATCTTTTAGTCATCCTACTGAGCCTCCCATGTTTTGATTTCATTCAGCAAGTTATGGTAATTATATTCTGCATACAATTTAGCAAAGCTTATGAGTTCTGTTTCAATAGCAGGTATTAGACTTACTTGAAGATGCGTGTGAATCGTTACTGGACAACATCTTGGCAGAAAACAGCAACATTCGTAGTTCCTAAGCTTTTCTACATGAATGCTCTGGTTGATCCAGTCTAGGCCTTGATATTGACCTGGAAAATGTCAATATACCCACAGTATCTACACTTTGTAGCTTGAATAGGGACTTCCATCAGTAAGCAATAAATGAAATTGGAGTTTGTATGTATTTAACCGTTTGTTTGGCATGCCAAAATTCATGAATGAAAAGTAACATCTGGATTTGGGACGTGTAGTAGAGGTTGTTGAATAATACTGTTGGACCCCATTATTTACCTAGATTTCTAAGTAGTGGAAACTATTGTTCTTCTATTTAACCTGGATTGTTTAACAAACTCTAAATATTAGCTCAAATCAATAATATTTCTCACTTCCCATTGAAGATTTCAATCCTTCAACGCTCGACAGAAATCCACACGCAGATGCATGATAAAAGAAAAATGTCGCTACTCCCGATTCCAAGCCTGTATTTTTTTTGTGGTATAAAGGGTATATCCACAATATTCAATCAAGGGTAAGAAGTGATTCCCTCCATATGTATAATCGTACAACTACGGATTCCAAAAACCAGAAAGCTTACTGCTACTGTAATTGCCAGAACAAAAATTTGTACAGCAAGGGAATTGTATAGCGTACATGGTGTGAACTTAGCTAGGTAGGGATCAATCTCATGCCTTAATGGTGGTACTCACTTCACTTTTAAAAGATTTAGAGAGCTGAATTCTTCATAGGAACCTCAATAGTATCATTTGCTTAAGCTCATACGATGAAGGGCTGTTTAAATCTTTTTCGGCCACGTTTCCTCCTTGGATTAGCACTAAGCATGCAAGAAAAGGCGTTTACAATTTCAGAGTCCTCCTCATTTATAAGAATCTTTGCTGCACTAGGGTTGGCAAGGAGGAGCTTTGCCACAAGGTATCCAGCAATAGACCACGTTTGAAACAACCGTGACTGCTTGCCAATAAATCTTGCTCTTCTAGTGTCATAGTATTCTGGCCACTTGTCTCTAGATAAGTGTCTCTCAGCAAGCATGACAGCTTTTTCAGCAATCTCTGGTCTGTTCATCTTTATGCATGCCACAGTGAGCTGGAACAGCAGCATAATTATGTTAATTACTAGAAAATTCTAATCACCATTTTAGAAAAAGCAAATTCAGATTGGAAGGTGCAGTCAATCTGTCGCATACTACAAAACACTCTATGGGTATAAAATATCTCAGAAATCAAGATGAAAGTACAATAAAAGATACCATAGTATAACACAGTACAAGATCCATGCTTACTCCTGGTTGGATGGATAATGGAACCAATCATCCTTTTCGGATGTATGCTTAACACACGAAACATTCTTAGATAAATTTCAAAAGGACAGGCAGTTAGAAAGAATAAGCCTATGAAAGAATCACATTGCTAATACTTGCATTCACGTTTCAGGAACCTCCAAAGTTCTACTGAGGTAATCTAATGTTGCATTGCCAGAAAATAGTGCAACAATGGCATAAGATCATTCATTACTGCAGTGAATGAAGTTTGGAATGAATAAACTAACCTGCCAAAGCAAAGTTGGCCAAGAACCTCCATTGTGGTATGACCAGGGACTGCAATAAAACAATAATGTTGAGTATGAGTGGAAGAACTAGGAATGAATTGCCATAGTAAATTACTGAGAAGAGAATCATAATCATATAGGTGAAGATCATACGTGTTCTTGGGATCACTGCCTGTAATAATTCGCCATTCCTGGCCCTCAAGAGCAGGATAACATATTTTCAATGGCATATCTGCCACCAATTCTGACCATTTTGCTTCAACAAGATCCAATATGGCATGTGATTGATCAACTGTTGCAAGACTGCTTACAATAGACCATATGTTTCCAAGTGAAAAGAAACGGAAATCCATGTGGGCAGGCTGCAGATTTCCAATCAAATAACCTCCTCTGGCAGGCATGAATTCCACCAACCAGTGAGGGATTTGATCTGGGTAGATGTTGAACTTGTTAACTGCATCATATGAGTATTCCTCTGTCTTGTAACGGTAGATTTCATTAAGTTTTTTCATGTCAATCCAGTAATATTCTCTGATGTGAAATGATAATGCAACTAAACGATTGTTGAGAGCTCTTATAAGGTCGGCTGAACTATCCTCAGGAGCAAGCATCTCACGTGCACAGAGTAATGCCGAATAAAAGAGTGCCTACATGAACACAAAATTTTTATGCAAAAGTATGACTTCAAATCTCCATCTAACAATGAACATGCCCACAATCATGAAGCTTCAGCTTCTGTAAGATAAAAGCAATATAAACCCTAGAAACCTATCAAGCACTGGAGTAAAGACATGTCTCACTCTTCACCATACATTTAAGGGAGAGGTGGAGGTCCACATTTGAAACACAAATATCAACATATCATGTTTCCTGGATCATGCTTAATTGTAGCAACATAGCGCTACGTAGAGGGCATGGATTTGCTCCTTAACAGTTTTGAAGCTACAGATAACATAATTCATTCCTCAAAAGTGTAACTGGGAATCAAACATTTTAAAAAATACTAAACCTGAATTTCCAAAGGATGGCCATGAATTCCCATGCGACGATCTATCATGCAAGAACCATCTGTCACTAATAAAGTCGGAAACATGTCAAAGCCATCAGCAAGACAGAGCTTTAAGATCATTTTAATCCCAGTTTGCACATCAACCCTCTCTTGCACCGAAAGATCGCCAGTGCATTTTCCATATGCTCGTAATAGGATAATCCACCATAATCCTGGAAGTGAAATCAAAAGTTGAACCATTAATCTATTAGGTTATAGTGTAACTCACAGAGATAATTTACCACAACATTCTCTTACCAGAATCAACTGGAGCTACACGGCCAATTGCTGCTTCACCAAAGTCAGGGTCTAATACATCTTCAGTCACAGAATCATCACCATCAAGTGGAACAGTACGCACTTTAAAACTGGCAGGCATCAGCCCCTGACCAGGACTATGACAATCCATGGTTTTCTCCCAGCTCTGTCAATTAAAAAAAGCAAATTAGCGGAGAAGTGACATTCATGCTTCAAACAAGTAATCCAATTGTAATGCTTAATTAGATAACAAGATGAGAAACATTAAATTACCTGCAACTGAAGTGTGTACAGGATGAAATTCCTAACAATATCATATTCTCCCTTCAAAAGAAAAGCTATCCCCGAAGGTATGAAGTCACGGATAAAGACTTGATCATAATTTAGAATGCTAGAGCTGCTTGTATCACTTGCAGCAACCGTTCCAATTGGATTACCACAATAGTACACAACAGACTCCTTCAGAAGATCCCATGCTTCTTCCTCAACTGATTTCCTACTATCTGTAATCATTCCAGCCCCATTCGTGTTACCATTGGCAAACCCTTCCTTATTAGATTTCAAAAGTTGCTTCAACTCAAACTCTTGAACATTATTCACCTTACCCTTGCCAGAAAGTGAAGCCGGTATTCCATGATCCGCGGTTAGTCCATTAACACTATCAGCCTTTTGGCATTTGCATCTCAAAAAACATGAAGATCTTTTTGTTCTGTTCTTTATATCAGTACTACAACAACCAGCACTCCAAAATCCATTGCTCTTTATTCTATTTCGCGATCTTCTTAAACTATAATGGAATTCTGCTAACCCTAAATTTCTTTGTTTTCCAAAATTTGCACCAGATTTGGATAAAATCATAGGATTTAAACATAGAAATGCTTCTGATAAAGCCATCAATCTTAAATTATAAACTGGATTCAACTAATTTCTTCAACCAACTATCTATTCAACACAAAAAGAAAAAAAAAAATGGATTAATGAATAACAACAATACTAAAACTAATGATGGAAAAATTAAAGCATAGTATAAATTTTTTTAGAAGAAAATTTTCTTTTGATATTTTGAAGTTGAAGAAAAGAATCAATCTTTTTCGTTTCTACGATATAAAGCAGGATTTTCAGTTCCTCGTGAAGATAAAAAAAGTGGCAAACTAAACTCACCTCTGTATCATCAAAAGACTTTTATTAGTTCATTTGAAGCAAAAGAAGGCAGCATCTCCAGCTTTTTCTCCGGAAAATGCAGGGTTTTTGCATAAGGTTTACTAGAATTTTCTAGGCATCCAAACAAAGGCTTTTACACTTCTCGCTTGCTCAGATTGGATGAGCGAATGGCAAAGACTATTAAAACGCTGCCGTTTGGTCCAATATCAGTTCCAATTTTGATTGGTCAGGGGGTGGGGCCTCTGGTCAATTTCAATTGGGTGAGAGATCAAGAAAATAAATAACAAAAATGGGAGCATTGGATAATGTTTTTATATCCCTAAAATCAACAAACAATTTTGAGCCAGTGGACGTGAGATTTGCACGTGTGGGATGAGGTGGTGCCATGGCCGTCGGACTGAAGGGCGATTTGAGCTTATTTAAGTAATCGATAATAAAAATATAATCTAACGATTCGATATAAATATGCTATGAATAAAAAATTAAAAAATAAAATTTAAAATTTTGATAATAATAATATAAAATTTTAATAAATTTAAAAAATATATTTTATATTAATATAAATTATAACATATAATTTTTATATAAAATATGATATAAATATATAAATTTTAATATTTTATATGATACAAGTATAGTAATAGTCATATTTATAATAAGAACTCTCTTGTAAGGAGACAAAATGGAATAATTTCTTTAAGGAAAAAATTAAATTGTATGAAAACTTCAGCATATGTTCTTTAACATCACGGAATTTTATTTTTTAAAAAATAATTATTTATTATATATTATATGTAATAATTAAATAATAAAGATTTATTTTGATAAATTTATTAATGATTTTATAATAAATAAATAGTTTTTTCAAAAGCGTTTTTTATTTAAAATTATTAACAAATTAAATACTAATTAATGAAATTAAAAATTCAATACTCAAATTACTGATAAGCAATGTACCTTTGCCACCACATAATTAATTAATTAATTAAGTAATAATTTGACAGTTCATTGAGAAAAAAAAAAAAAAGGCAAGAAGAAACATTTGGAGTCCTTATGTTAATGAGACCAAAAATTAACGTACTTTTGGATCATACAACAAACAGGTTCTTCTGATGATACCTTTTCCTTTTTTCCCCCATATTTTCCTCTTTATCTGATCAGAGCTTATAGTAATAAGCCTGCCAAATCCCAAGAGTTGTGAAATTTCATGATCTTGATTCTTGAAGCTCAAACAGATTAAAAGGAAAAGCTACCATGCATGGCAGCATGGGAATAGTACATACTGATAATAATATTTAAAAACCAAAGAAGCGCCTACAAGCTTCAAGGATCTTGTTGTTTCTCTTCTGAGCCATGATCGTGTTAGTTTCTCCATCACCAACCGGAACTGGATCGTATTGATGATCAATCCTGCGATAAACTTCGTTTCCTGAAGCTGATGATGCTCTCATTGAGAAGGCTCTCCTCACAGCCCTCTCAACCACTGATGAATTCTCATCCTGTTCAGTTCTCATTGAAAACGTTTTCCTCACTTTGCCATCCAGTTCATACTTTTCTTTCTGACCTGCCATTAACCCTTTGTCATATTCTGATGGTAAGCCTGAAGGGTACCTTCGCCTCAAAACGGCCTCGATAAGTTCTTCTTCGTCTTCCTCCTCTTCATCTTCATACCCTTGATGAAGAAATGAATCATGGAGATGTTCCAGATCAGTGTTAATGGTATTACCACTGATCTGGAGCCCTTGTTTTGTACCTTGGAGTTTGTAGTTTGGGAAAGACATAGGTGTTTGAGGAGGAAAGCGGTGACAAAAAGAAATCAAACCAACCTTGTTTCGTGAATTCCTTCATGTTTCTTTCACCTTAGGCTTTATATAAAATGTGTCATAACTGTTTGATGATCAATCATAAGAAAGAAAATGCATCATGGAAAATGTTGTGATAAACTGATATTGAAATGCATTCATGAATAATGAATTCTATAATTTCTATAGAAAGTGACCTGCTTTTTCTGCAAAGGTGGACAACATGTTTCTATCATTTGTTCTGCGTCTAATTCAACATCTAAATGCATTGAAAGTAAACTTATCCAGCAAAACGCATCCAGTTCTAGAAGAACTGGTGTTTTCTTTTTACTCAAAATGCCTACAGTTTGAACCCTAATCACTGAAATTAAAAGTCTAGTGCTTTACCAACAGGCAATGTTGGCAAGAAGAACTAGCTTTGGCAACAAATATAAAGTAGGGATTCAAAACAATCTAAAACTTTATCAGTATTTTTATATTGTTACCATCTGACATCCTCCTTCACATGTAAGAACAAGAGACATCTCATTTAATTATGAAGACATCAGGATATAAAACCTCAAAACTAGTAACCTTAACAAGACTATTAATGTAAAGCCAACAAGTAAAGAGTAAATCAAATCTGCTCCAATAATACCATGTCAAATTTTATGATAGACATCTATCCATGTTAAGATCAAACGTCAATAAATCTCCTACCTTATATTTCAATATTGAGGATATCCAAACTTAATCAGTAGTATTATATTAAACATGGAAATATCAAGTTTCAAGAATCTATTGAACATTTATGTGCTCAGGAGGATCCTCGAAGCACTTTATTGAACCTATTTTTTCGTCCTATTGCTAGGTGATCCATTAAGGGATTTAACCCCCAGATTCTGCAGGAGCCAGCCCCAGGATCAATCTGCCAGAACCTTAAATGGACATTTATATTTGATAGCCTTATTGATACGTTTGATTCTGGCTAACTAATTGACAAACTCTATCCCTGTGAAAGGATTTCCGGCATGAAGTTGTAAGGCAACATCACCGACAACCTGCAATTAGCAAAATAAGAGGTACAATCATACCTAGAAATTCAAATTAGACAACTAACAGAACAAGCAAATAATAATAATGGTACAATAGTTTAATTTTGACAAAGCCATATGATTCACATACCATCCAAACCCTAAGCAGAGTTTGGATCATGATAAATGTGAAGAAAATAGAGTAGATAAAAATATTAAACCTTTTGTTTTAGTTGGACAAATTGTAGTAATCTTCATACACTAAATTTCTTTTTTCAGGTATTCAGACAAGACAAGAAAGTACCTCAACTTTTGTAATGTTGCCACTTCTCTTATTTTCCACAAACCTTAAAGATCCCCAAGATACTTCGCATTCATACAGTTCGGGGAAATGTTTTTATAGATCAAAGTAGCAGAATCATTTTTGCAAGAATCATTAAGTAGTTTTTGTTAGTGATTGCAACAAACAAGAATTCAAGCTTTCACTGGAATATTTTAGCTCATAGCAGACAAGAACTTAAGCAGAAGGATGAAATCTAGGCCTATGATAGACTGATTTATACAATGAAAAATGAGATTCATTTTACTTTTAACAACTTAAAAGTTTGATAAGAGGCATACCTTAGCCATCAATCTATAAGAATATTCGGTAACCCCAGCTAAATGAGGTGTAACTATAACATTCTTGAATTTCAAAATCGGATCGTCAGGGTCAAATGGTTCTGTCCATGCAACATCAATTCCTAAGCCTCCCAAGTGTCCAGACTCAAGATGATGCACAACAGCCTCATAATCTAGAAGACCCCCTCTAGCAATATTTACCAAAAGGGCTCCCTGAAATTACACACTATTATTAACATCCAACATGTAACCCACTATGTGTGCAACTATTTCAATAGAAAATTAAACAATGAAAGTTTATTGAAGAGATGCAACATCATATAGCATACATGCTATGAAAACATGCGTGTTGTAAAAAAGTTTTCATTGTTTAGTTTTCTATTTTCATAGCTATGAATGCAACTGAAATTTAGGAGAATTCCAAATTTTTGAAGTGCATTTGAAACAAACCTGTTTCATCGAAGATATGAAGGACTTGTTTACAATGCCAACCTGAAAATTCAAAATATAGAACTGTAAGTGATTGGAGAACAAATTTTGCAGCAAGAGATATGTTCACCATAAATATTCCAATTGTAAGAAATGTGATTGGAGAATAATGTTTGTAGCAGATATATATAAAAACATGGCCAGATAATGTCATAATCTGGGAAAGCAGATATTTCAAGTAAGGAAAGAAAAGAACAGCCTTACTGTTTCTTTATTCAAACTCAAGCAACAGACAACTATATCAGCATTGCTTGCAAACTCATAAATATCTCCATGACTTCCTTTCTCGTCAACCAAATCATCAACGACCCCGTTTTGAATTGGAAATGCTGAATATTCAAGACATAATAAATCAAATGACTTCACAAGTGAGCTTCACTATTACTTAATGAGTCCTCTATACCTTTTGGGACAGGAACTTGCAAATTTGAGGCCCAGCTCCTTTTTGTAGCAATAATTTTAACACCAAATGGTTTCAAGCGCTTTGCCAGATCAATTCCAATATTTCCAAATCCCATTATAAAGACCTGCACTCAGGGACTCAGGGTATAATATGTAAAAAGTCAAATAAGATACAAAATCATGGAGACTATGATTTGAAACATGAGGTCATCCACCTTAATGGTGGATGAATAGTTGTTAATGGAGTAATTTTTTGGAAAGAAAATAACAAAATTGCCTTGCCTATGATTCATTGAAAACAAGATCATAAACTAACATTTCATTTCAGAGAACCAAAAGTCTAAATAAGGCTTCAGCTCCTAAACACAAATGTTTGATAAACAAATTGGAATGTATTAATTCTCAAATCTACCCTTAATTGTTTTCTGCTTTCCTTTTGTATGCAAAATCTCAATTTAGTGAGGTAACACATGCATGAACATGGTGAATGCTAAATAATGTCCCCTTAATACATTGCAATTTCTGCGTAAGGAAAATCATGAGGAAATAGGCACAGAAAGGGGATACTGATTTTGCTCTGTACTCAATGTTTGATCAAAGAAAATATTAAATTTCATGCCTGAATCCAGGTTAAGTTATTGACTGTCTGGTTGTCTTCCTCCACTACAAACCTAAGCAAGCTCCCTTGTATCACTAGTTATGCCAGAATGAGATAAAGCTTTTATTCTCAAATCAACTTTTGTAATAGTGTTAAAATTATAAAGTTCAAGCATCACTCATCGAGCATATTATTAGCAAAAGTCACCATGAAAAGAAAAAAGAGAAATAAGAAAGCACGGGTCCAATTTTCATGAAAAGATTTTAGTACAAGAATCTCAAAGAAGTGTCAAAGCAGAGGGAAAAGAATAAAGCATAAACTCACTGTTTTCCCAAGCAGTGTTTCCCCAACAGGCTCTCCAAGCTTTTTCTCCTTTACAGAAATTTGCATCTCATTCTGCAAGAGCACCACAATCACTCTGGTCATGAACATAACAACTATCATTACAAAACAGACAATCAATGTTAAAGTTAAGGTGTAATGCAAGTACATGTATCAAATATTTCAAAATGCAGGTAGATGGAAGAGAAGTAGTGCAATGTGCAGAAACACCATGCAAAAGTGAGTCCAAAAAATGGCAACGAGATACTGAAGAGAAGAGATGATAAAAGTGGGCAGTCATGATGGATATGAAGTAAATTTGGTGATGCTTTGATTATAGGATTGATTGAAAGGAATGACAAACCTACCAAAAAATGAGGGTGTAATGTAATGGCTGTCTGATGCATCAAACACAAAACTACTTAAGCAAACAACATAATAACCAAAATGAGTTGCAATCTAGCTGAAATGCAAGAATGACAGCAACACTCTCTCTCTCTCTTCAATTCAAATTGGGAAAGAGAAAATGTGTCATTAAACTCACCTACAATTAGCGGTAACCACCATATGAGGGCATTATTAAATTATTCATATTACTATATTAGGGAGACAACATTAATTTCAAGACTTGATGAAAATTTTCTGGTAATAGAAATGAAGACAGAACACTTGTACTTCAGGACCGCTTATAATATCATGGCTGGGGGTATGGCTCAGTTGGACTAGAAAGTATCTCCTTGAAGATGCTTGCACTAGTTTTATCAGTAAACATTCTTATCCATTACAATTATACTTGGGGGGCTAGTCTAGCCTGAATGGCCATGGATCTCAAAACAATTTTAAAGGTTATTCCTCCCTTCCACAAATTGCTTAATCTACCACATTTAGATCATTGGTTTGTTGAACTGATAAACAAGTTCCATTGCAAAGTCTCTTTTATTTCCGTAAACCAGATATGGCTTTCAAGTGTATGCCACAACTAAAACAATAAGAAGATGGTGAACTAACCTCACAAATATCATAAAGTCAACTACTTTTCATTTAACCATAATCATATTACCATATTATAAAAGTAGTGCAATTCTCAGTTATTAACTTAAATAAATAAACCTGTTTCCGGAGAAGGCCCAACATTAGATATATAGCCATTTCAGCACAAGATACTGCATTTCCAGATGCATCACCTGGGATTCTGGCAACTTTAATCCCATGCTTTGTAGCAGCATCAATATCAACTCCTTCATGCAAAAGTAACAAAATTGAACAATTTACTCCAGTACATGCAATGTGCCGAAAGCTTTAATTTACGGATTAAACACATAAAAGAGTAAGAACCTTCTAGGCCAACACCAAATTGCATTATAATCTTCATCTGTTTTGCACGAGATATAACATTTGAATCAAACCGCATGTTTTTTGCGACACAAAGATGGTAGTTCCCAATATGATCAGGAACTTCCTTCAGTGGCACATCATCAACCTACAAGAAGTTCAATCGCTAGAGAAGCTCAATATGAAATACAAAAAGTTCAACTCCAAAAAAAAAAGGAAAGGAAATGTGTTAGGTTGCTTGGAGATTTCATTTTATCGAGGGATTTGGCATATGCTTGCTAGTGTGTTTGGTTAATGATAAATTGATAATGCTTTAATATTTATGTAGATTCGAATCTATCAGTGAATAAGTGCATAAGCACGAGAATTTGAGCAAAATACCTGGATAAAAGAATACTTCTCTAAGTATTCTCTAGTATAATTTTGTGAAGCTGGAAAATGCGATCCACAAAAGAGAACACGAGTGATGGGTTTGTCATTGTCCACATCTCTCCTCTCCAGTGTGGAAGACATAACTGCACTGAAGGACCTTAAAATCAAAACAAAATGCCCTAGAATATGAGAAGATAAAGCAATTTAAATTAAATTAAATTAAATTAATGCATTCAAAAATTCCAGAAGCATTTCTAAGTGATTGTCTAACTACCTATTGTAACAAAGACTAGAGAAACCATGTCTTCCTAGAAAGTGATGTGAAGTAGGGTAAGTCCGCCAAGACACAAATTCCATACCAGAGAGAAAATAGTGTTATTCGAAGAAACCTTGAAAAATCAAACAAATGCTTCCTTTAAGGCAAAAATTACTATCTTCATCAGGTATTAATGACATTGCTTTCATCATTTGCTACAGATAAAACCAGTTTGGGCCGGAAAGCACCAAATTCTAGTCATCGAGCATTCATTAGTATACTTTTATTGGTACTACTTGTCTAAGTATGGTACCTAGCAAGGAGAAGGAATAGAACACGGACTCTCACAGTTTATCCAACATAAACATGACGAGCAGGACACAAAAATCGATGAAAAACTGTAGCCCAGTGTCACAATAAAAATAACATTTTGATCTTGATTCAGAGGCCTTAACATGGCGAAACAGAGTTCCCCTGTTGCAAGGGAAAATCTCACTGCTACTCTCTTAAGTGCAAAATAGCTCTAGTAATGTTGAGTTTATTCTTAGAACAAACGTGGGTTCAACTTAAAAGACAATCTTTCCCAAGGAAAACCAAGATTCTTGGTCAACTAAAATCTCAAAGATCATTCTTTTTTTCCCAGAAATTCCAACTTTTACCTCAAACCTTTCGCTAAAAAGCTTCTATCTAACAATCAAAACAAAGCCTTCACCTTAATTCTTGTACTTTTATACAATAGAAAACGTGAATAAAAAATTAGGGAGCAAACTCACAGAGCTGAAGAGTTCGTGGACTTCCACCTTGTTAAGAAGTGAATATATGGGAAGACCCTGGACCAGCTTTTTATTTGAGTCTACTCTACCTAACAGCAGAGGAGCATTTCAACTTTAGATGTCGGTTTCCTCTATTTACTTAAAAATTTTTTGTATAACTACTCTACCTAAAGAGCAAAGCACTGATGTCAATCCTCAATAAATTATTGTAAAACTTTTATAGCCTTCGGTGGAAGATATTGCAATTTTTGTAAACTTTCATAAATTATTGGTAAACTTTCATGGCCTTTGGTGGAAGATATTGTAATTTTTGTTAGTGTCATGTTTTATTTTGTATAAAATATAAATCACAAAAATTATAATATCACAACTATGTTTTGCCAAATATAAAATATATCTTTTATTTTTGTCAAAATTATATAAAATTTTTATTAAAATTTTAAATCATATTATTTTCAGACAATATAATTTTTATTAAAATTTTAAATCATATGAATTTTATATATTTTTATATCGTATTATTATATATACTTTAAATTATCTTATCTAATTAATAAATGTGAGATAATGCTTTTGAATTTTTTTTCCATAGTATCACCGAGGATGTAAGCTAATGGTAGGGAACAAACTTTGATGTAAAACATCAAGAGAGATGATAACTTAATCTATATCTAATAAATTTCGATCTAACCTAATTTTTTAAAAATAAATTATAAAAACAATCAAATTTCTAATCAAATAATAATACAAAAAATTCAAAATTGAATTTTAAGCAATCTCGCAACTTGATATATATAAAAATTTATTTTTTAATTATTTATTTACTTTTATATTTATATATTTATTAAATTTAATATTTATATTTAAAAATAATATTTTATTAATTTCAAATTGAATCATATTAAATATAATTTTATATAATATCGAATTAAATTGAATTAAGATATTAAAAAAATTAAAAAAAATTATTAAATCGGATCAAATTCGATTATTACGTATATAAAATATAATCAAATTTAGGACGAGCAAAAACTCACCTCTACTATACCTATTGTCATCCCTAAACACCGCTGCCATAGTTTTAAAAACAGTATGAACAATAACTATAGTGCGGTTCTTTCCACATTTGTTGTTTGATGGAGTTAGCCATATTTCTGAGTTTTGCCAGCATCAACTCCTACACGTTAAAAGCTAATACTACTACCTACAAAAAATGGTACAAGAAACTTCAAATGGCCGTGTTATGACCATTATCATTGTCTCCATTGTAATATTCATCGTCACGCTGAATTTGCTTGTCTTGGGTGTGCTCTATAAAGAAAAATGAAGAAAGGAGAAGTATTAGATGCTGAAGAAAAAACAATTCACAAGAAATCAAGTGGCAGAAAGCATGCACGAGTGTTGATTAAGGGACACAATGGCGCCACAGCTCGAGGGTACACGTTATTCATGAGTTCTACTTACGATCCATGCACTCATCAGGATTTTGCTCATCTTCATCAAAATCAGGAATACAGAAATCAGGTGGAACCTGCAAGACAGATGATAGCCATTACACCACCGGTATTTTGACTGCATTTAACACTAATGTTTCCCCCGGAAAAGCATCCAGGCTCTCTCTTGCCCTCTCTTCCCATTCGGGTAAGGCACAGAAAATCAGAAACCAACCACCTAGACAAGTAATCCGGCTCATCAAGATTCAGATTTAGTTGGCAACTAGTTGTGTGTTACTCACCTCTTGCATTTGTACACCTGGAGCATGTTGGATGCTACAAAGATTTTCCAATACTTGCATTTTTATTGTACTAAGATATGATTTGCTAGTTAAATTCTCCTGGATAATCAACCAAAGCATGAAAAATTATGAGGGTTTTGGACTTTTTCAAGATCATTGTTGCACAATGCTAACTACATCAGAGAATTTATTTGCATTGAAGTTGACAGTTGTCAATTGAAAAATAAGGAATTCAGTTTCTTGAAAGAACTTTAATTGTGAAATAACATACCATGTAACCATTTGGAATATTCAACAAGTATTCTGGTGAAAAATATTTGATATACTCATTTTCTGGGATTTCTGCAAAAATATCAAACTTTTAAGTAAGTTTCTCAATCTTCCAATCAGTGAAACATCCTAAAAACTGTCCCTTACCAAACACAAACACAGACACAAATAAGTCCAAAAAACCGGCCAAAGACCTTTGAAAATATATCGAGCAGCTTATTTCAATATCAAGCAGATTCACAAATGTAGCAATTGACATAACATTCACATGATACATCTCCAATATGGGGGAAAATGGGTTACCCAAATTGGCAATCTACGAGTCAGCATATATGTTTAGATGCTTTATGAAACTGATTTACATAATCCCAGTTCTCATGCCAAGTTTAGTGGGAAAGATACCAATTTCTTTATAGCATATCAAGAAAAAAGTGGGGATTATCTTAACATACCATTCGTAAGTTCTGTATCTAAAAGAGCTCCTGTTTTCAACAGCTCAACAACGTGCAACATTTTCTTTTGTATATCGTCCACCTCCAGTAGCCTGTAGGATAAAAGATCCCTCTCTGTACCTTAAACAGGACTGATTTTACATCAATTAGGGGGCTAATCGAACAAAGAAATACCAGTAAAGGTAGATTGAATTTCTTCACAATTCTAACACACTCAGCATGTCCTGCAAGTGACATCAACAACTCCAATATTCAACAGTAATTTAAGGGGGGGAGAATAGTCCTTAATTTACAAGTGAATTTATTTATCATCAATTGAGAGTTTGAAACAGCCCAGACAATCCCCAGCAAGAGAATCTGCACCACACTGAAGAACTATTGCACCTGGTTGATACTTTTCAACAACCTCGGAAATAATCTACAAGAAGTAGATATATGCGCGCAATTGTTTAAATACTACAACAGTTAACTGACAGACTAAGAAATTATCTTTCTATTATGTGCTTTTCTTTTTATTTTTTGTCTGACTTGGAACTTACTGTCTTAAACAATTGAGTGAAGCTAGTGTCATCAATTGCATCCTTGAGTGGGACATTTATGGCATAATGCTTTCCTTCTCTTTCTCCTATATCCTTCAATACAAGTTGTATCGGTATTTCACTCCAATATCAGCTTGGCATAATACGAGCATAGATCAGTAGAAACAATTCAGAAGAAAGGATTTTGTAAGCAAAGAAGATAATAAATTTCTTGATTATACAAATTTCAGAAACAAATAGGTGAGAGTAACAGGAAGGAATAAAGCAACTACACTAGTTTTCTTTCTCCAATAAAGAAGTTTAACTTGGAAAGTTGATCACTAGGAAATGCTCTCACCTACATTTGCAATTCAAAAGCAAAGAAGACTAGCACAATGAATATGTCTGGCTTCTCAATAAGAGCATATGTAAAACAAAATCATGATTAATAGGCTTCTTGAGACCTTTTACGTAAAAAATAAAAAAAAAAAACGCTGGGAATCAATTTTCAAGATTTAGTTTAATTTAAAAACTTCAATGATCAACCACATTGTTTTAGGAAGAACAATAATGGCACAGTAGTATCCTCTTACTAGGGGGATATATACAAAGGATTAAAAGCAATTACCATTTGAAAGTATGCGACTTAGAAAATGGAAATTGATAAAGCAGGAAATAAAGTAGGTAAAATTGAAGCAATCAAGTTTGAGAGAAATTAGTCAAAGCAGCTATCAGATGTTGGCCGTGCAAAACTATATTAACTAACAAATTTACCTACTATTAATGCTACAAAAAGAAAAAATCTAGCAAAGCATTGAAATTAACCTTCACAACACCAGTTCCAGGAAAGAATATATCTCCATACTTGTGAAAACTAACAGTCATCACCCTGTCATAATAAAGTTTCAACAATTTCATTAGAGAGAGAATTTTTCAACCCATTTTATTGAAAGTTCAACAATTTATATAGCATCTCAGAGATGCATGAAATACTAAGTTTCTTCTAAACTTGGCATCATAAAAAAACAGTCTACAAAGCTGATTTAGACCTTGCAAAGGCTAATAAGAACATAACCCCCCACGTATATAACTCTTCTAGCAGTGAATCACCAAAAAGAGCATTTTTGGCTCCTCAATGAGATTCAAAATTTTGAAATGATGTATGATCCTGTTCCTAGGCTAAATTCATAGTCCAATAACAAGAGAAAACTACCTGTCAGTGAAATAAAAGGCTTCTTCAACACCATCCCCATGATGTACATCTTTATCAATATACAAAACGCAAGCATGATACTTTAGAAGCTCCAAGATTCCCAAAACCAAGTCATTGATGCAACAAAAGCCAGAAGCCTCACACTTCTTGGCATGATGTAAACCACCAGTCCAATTTATAGCAATATCACATAGTTTCAATCTTCGTGCAGCATCTGCCAGCAATGCTAATAAATTAAGGCTGAAAAGGCACAAATCAAGTTCAAGAGCAACAGACTGCCAAATTTGGGTTTCCCTATTGTTCCACCAACATAAATTTGACAAAATTCAAACAAGTTTTCAAAGACAGGGCAGTCTTCCCAAAGATTGACTGGTTAAGAAAAAAGAGAGAAAAAAGGTGAATATGAAACTATAAAAACACATATACATCAGATGAAAGCAAAATCTACATCGAACCCTAATCCATTTCAGAATGATAATGCATATGCATGAAACCGGATAGTATAGAATCAACGTCAATCTACAGCTCATATGTAAGAAAAAAGAAAACAGCTCTGATGACTGGAGAGAAACTGAAATTAGAAAAGTAAACAATAAACAACACTAAATCATTGCTATCACTTGAGCCAAAACAATGAATATGTTTAATCTTAAAACCAGTTCAATCATCAATCTCAAACAAGGCAATCCATGGAACTTCTTTTTAACACATAGACAAGATAAGTCACTAAACTAACTGTACAATTTGTGACACCGTATCAACTTAAGTCTACCCTTAACCCACCAATTTAACAAATAGAAACAAGGCAACAATTGAGCAAAGTATAAAGAAGAGTAAACAGGTTCGCAAACTAATTTCCAAGTCTAAATTTAGATAGCAGAACTTACGGAAAAATCATATCCCAACTAAAGGTGATTCCAATCTCCAAAACCTTCCCAAGCATCAAACATTCATACAAAATACTCAGTAGTTGACTTTTCCCAGCCTAACAAACTTCTTTCTCTTGAACAATCAATCATTGTAACTCCTAAAACTATCTGTTTTAAATGATTTACCCAGAACCAAAAAAAAAAAAAAAAGGGATACATACATTTGACCAATTCATTCGAGAAAAAGAACAGCATAATCATCTGAATGGAACTAAGCAAGCTCAACAGGGTAGGCCTTGTGGGGACGCTGCATTAAACAACTGAAAATTTTTAAAAAATTCATCAATAAAGAAAAAGAGAAAGAAATTTATAGTATCGAAATTAGAGAAAGTTTGAGTAATTGAGCAACTGACATAAATTTCCTTTTTCTTTTTTTTGTGGAGGTCATAGGCAAGGGCCAAATGGTGAGTCATACAAAGCTGGTGCGGTTTCATTGGATGATTAGGGCCAAAATATACACTCCCTACATCTCCTGCCAAACAACCAAAAATAATATTAAAAATATTTTATTTTTTTGTTAACCAATGAGTTAGGGTTTTTCAAGAATTAGGGAAATTATGGAGATAAGCAGATAGTTATTGAAATAAGTGTGAATTGATCAAAAAGATTAAAAGACAAAGAAAGAAAAAGGAGATGAAATTGTAAATAAGAGAGAGAGAGAGAGAGAGGATGGTACCGTCGTAAAAGAAGGCATTTTGTCCTTTGGACGCATTTAGCTACCAATAGACAAAGACAAGGCAACGGAGAAGAGAGGGAGACTGAAGTCTTTTGCTACGAAGAATCCGCCATTGTTAGAGCTCGATGGGACAGTTGCAGAGAGAAAGGGAGAACAAGACTAATTTAAGATCTCCAATCCAACAGGCTCAAAAAAGAGCTGGGTAATTGCTTAATTGGGCCAACGCTCCACTCCAACGGGCCCAAAAATGAGCTAGGGAGTTTCTTAAGTGGGCCAGCCAGCTCAGCCCATATAACTTTTTATTTTTGATTTTTTGGGTTGATTTTTGGTTTTCTTCCCCGAATAATATAAAGACCATTTTCACTAATCCTTCAATCGCGAGAGGCTCAGAGTCGTCTACAAATTCTAGGGTTTTCCCATCTAAGGAAAAAGAAGAATCAGGATTAGTTTTCTCTCAGGTACTATCTTTCTTTCTTCTCCTTTGAATCTGATCTTGAAAGCTGTTTAATTTCATATGGCAGAATTAATTTTTTATCATAGCTGATGGTTGAATCTGCTGATTTTTTTTTTGGGGGGGGGGGGGGGAACATTTCCCTGAATAGGGTTTCTTTTGGTTGATTAGTTTGGGTTGATAGGAGTAGATCTCCGGTCTTTGTGGCTTGACAAGGTATTAATTTTAGAACAAATGAATCAATCTAACATATTTCATTTTGAAATTGATTTGATTAGGTGTAGTTGAATTGGTTAAGATTATAAATTTATGATTAATTGAAACCATATAAGGTACGTTCTAGCCGAGGATTCATAAAATTCGTCATCCTCTGGATGGAATGTAAAATGGGTTTCAACTGGATTTAGTAATCCCACTTTTTTTATTTAATTTTGTTTTCACTTTTCTTATGCAAAGGAGTACTGATATGTTGAGGTTTTGTTAGAAGCATTAATGGCTTTTTAAGTTTCTGTAAGTTAGAATCCATGTCTGCATATGGGAACCATTACTTTATGGAGCTTCTCCAGAAGCAAAATTTTATTTGTAGGCTATAGTGCAATGGGGAACTTTATTTCATTGCTGAAAATCATTTGTACTCTCTGCCTGCTTCGGTTGTTGCATCAAAATCACTGCCATGTTTCAATATAGCTTTTTTAGAAAAAGGGGGGACTGCCATGACATCTTCAATCCTGTCGATGCAAGTGCAACTGATGTCTGCTTGTTAATGTAAATTCAAAGTTATGGGTTGTGGGGGAATGGTAGGCTTATGGGGTTCTGTGGAGCATGAAGTTTCAATTATTTAATTGGTTAAAAAAGAACATGTTAGCACGAAAAAATTGTTTTCTTTGGTTTTACCAAAGGCCTAGGAGCAAATCCAGCTTACACCTTTTTCTTTTTTTTTTTTTTTGGGGGGGGGGGGGGTGTTTCTTTATGGAAAAGGGGAGCACAGCCCAGCCATTGGACCAATAAAATGAAAAATAGAGGAAGAGAGACATGATGGAACTTGAAAGTGCATGAATGTGCCATTTTGGGAAGAGAGAAGTGAGGTTGAGGTGTTTTGGGAGCATTGAGAAGCTTCTTCAATTAGATGATCTATAACTGGATTTTGAACTTGTGATGCAGTATGTCGGAGCCACCATTCAGACCTAGGGAGAAGCTTATTGAGTATCAGAAATATTTTCAAAGCATCCACAAGCACACTTACCTGAAAGGACATTATGATAAGATCACATCTGTCGCTATTCCTGCTGCTTTGGCTGCAAGTTCCTTGTTTTTAATTGTGAGTTTGTTTCTACTTGTAAACATGCCTTTAATAACTTTTAGCTCCTATTTGCCAAAGAATAGATTGAGAAATTATTTTTTGGCATCTCAGTGATGTAACTATTCCTCATGTTGTGTTTGTTATTTTTCAGGGACAAGGGATCTATAATATGTCTCATGGGATTGGAAAGAAAGAATGAGGTTACTCATGCTTAGAAGACATGTATTCCTTGACTTTTGTGGGTTTTTTTCTTTTTTTAGCATGAAGTTGCATGTTTGTTACCTCTAATAATTGTTTGGTTTGCGCACTTCTTTGCTGCCAATGGAAATTTAAAGCTACCCTAATGGATTATGTTCAGTTTGGTTTTTATTTTTTTTTAAATCTACATGATCAGACCTCAGGATTCAGCAAGCTTTTTGATGTTGTCTATGCTTAATTTGGTTTTTGAGTTCTGTCTTCTCGGTTATTGAGACTACTTTGTTTCCACTGTGATTCTGGTTTGAGCATTATCACATTCATTCAATTTTCAACAGCCCTTGGTCTTGCATTTTGGAATAGTAGTCTTACCCCTTTCCCAAATTTTCATGGGCCCAAGTAAGTTAATGGTACTGAAATTCAACTGACGTAACCAGTGCGTGTAAGTGATGCTTGCTGCCTGTCTAGTCCTTCCATCAATTATTGACTAATAATAGTCAAGATTGCCGATTACAGCTACTTTCAGGCACCATAAACTTAAGGATAAACAGGAGTAAAAGAAAAGGCTACTAATGATTGACAGCAAAGTTTTTGGGTTTAATTTGGATAGAAAGCAAATCATATTATCAATATCTCCATCATAAATTGCCCGAAGAAAACTGTCATTAAATTTATTAATGCTTACTTGCAAACTTTCTTGGATTTCACAAGTAAACTGGTTGGATTCCATTCTACCAATTTTTGACATGGATGTCGGATGCTAACCGCTGTTAGAATGAAGTTGAAATGCTATTATGACTTTTACAAAGGAAAAACCAATCTAGAAATGTATATTTTTGGTCTTTAGTTTGTAACACTGGTTATGAGATCTTGAATTGGAAACAAAACCAATTCCACATTTTTTGTGAGGTTGCAGCCATTATAGAATCAGTCTTGATTCTGATAACGATACAGTTGGCTTAATCATGGAAATTAAAACAAATATGAACCCTGCCCTATATTAAGGACTTTCGAGGCTAATGGGAACCTTAAAATGTTCACGGGCAAGAACCAATGCCGTTTGTTAAAGGTTAAAGTAGTTTTCGTAACTGTACCTATAAACTTTAAAGAAAATGGTCCTTTCTTTTTCTTCCAAAACGGTGGATCGATTCTGAGTTCTTTATTCAAAGAATGTAGGAATTGAACTACTACCTGTAAAAGAAACACAGCCTGTTTATCTGAGTTTTTAATGTCTGATAAATTGAAGATCTAAAATACTTGATGATGGTCTTCAAAGTTTGGCTATGTTCTTGACAGTGAACATTTGTCAAGATTTTTAGGCAAATTGTAACAGAGACTGATGAATATCAATCAAATTACTTTAATTTTATCTGCAAGGCATGGACAAGTTTCTAACTAAATGTACTAGTTTTCAACTTAAAGAATTTTAAAAAAAAATAAAAAAAAAAACCAACTTCAGAGCCAATAAGTTTCTTGCCAAGTCTACTTCTAGAAGTGGTTCAAAGTAAACTGAGAGGCTTCAATATTCTTTTGTTTCATACAAGCAAAAAATGACTTAAAGAAAGTCATGCAACAATTTTCCGGGAATGTAATCCTAGTCAGGTTTGGCAAAGTTGGAATATAACGCACTGATTTCAGTTCACATGATTGTTAATTGTTAAAATGAGACCGAGTCTGTGAGATCAAAAGTCAAAAGTCGTTAAAAATAAAAGCTAAGAAATATTCAAAGAAGTCAAAATGATTGATACGTTTTGCAGGTTTTAATTAGGTTTGAAACAAGAATCACCGTTGTACTCCCTTAATCTAATTCAACATTTTTGTCCTCCAAAAGAAGCATCCTGGCTTGAGAATTTTCTTTTCAGATGATTTTTCTTCATCCCTTGGTCAGAAAAAGGGAAAATATTTCAGCTATCCCTTTCCCTGTTGGCCCCTCAGTTCAATTATGGTAGGCATTAATCAGATAGGTTGTTGTTCAAATCATTCCAAAAATGCAAAGCACAAGCATATAACACGTTGAACTTAAAAAAAAAAAAAAAAAGTTAAAGCTGAACTCGGGTATAATTCAATTGATTAAATAGTGATACCTAATAAATAAATTTGAGTTCAAAATTTCAAACCGCGTAACTCTTTCTCCCGTCTTCCTACTGCCATATATTTGTATAAAAATATTAAAGCTTAGCCTTGGAAAATTGGAAGCGACTTCCAGGAGTCAATTTTGACCGATATCAGCAACAGTGAAAGGGAAAAAAAAACCAAAAAATGCAAAAAGAGGATAAGTTTGTTGTCACATTCAATATTTTTGTCTCTAATCTTCAAAGTTCAAACTGCATATAAATGGACTAGGAACATCGCTCTTTTTAACGTTGTCTCTTCAAAAAGGCATGAAATCCTGGTTTCAATATTAGTTCTTGGTTCAGCACTCTTCCAACAATTAATCATAGAGCTGAAAGAAGACACTCTTGCTGAACCAGTTTTTTCATTGTATAATCGTGCTATATTGGTTGTTACAAGAACGTTAAAAAGTTCCAAACATGGCGGCTGCATTGGCCGGAGAGGACTTGTCGAGGCAGACGAGTATGAGTAGCAGGAGAAGCTGGCGTGCCTCGAGCGTTAGGGAAATGTTTAATTCACCGGACGTGTTTCAAAGGAGCAGTAGACGGCACGAGGTTAATGATGAAGAAGAGTTAAGATGGGCTGCAATAGAGAGGTTGCCAACATATGACAGGCTGAGGAAAGGGATGTTGATGCAGGTCATGACCGATGGGAATGTTGTGCATGATGAGGTTGATGTTACAAAGCTCGGACCACAAGCCAAGAAACAGTTAATGGAGAGTATACTTAAGGTTGTTGAGGAAGACAATGAAAGGTTCTTGACAAGATTAAGGAACAGAACTGACAGGTTACTGCACTTCCTTTTCTTTTATTTGGCTTTTATATGAGAGAATGGAGAGAAAAGAAAGAAATGTTGAATTTTTTTTTTTGTTTTTTTCAAAGCAAGCTAAGCCTAGGGATGGGGATGGGATTGAACCGAGATCTGTTGGATGCCACCTTTTTAAGGATTACTACATGAACCAACTGAGCTAAAATCTGGGTTCAAGAAATTCTGAGTTTGAATCTTACAACTTTTATGTTTTGATGGAAACAGGGTGGGAATTGAGGTTCCTAAGATTGAAGTTAGATTTCAGAATTTATCCGTCGAGGGAGATGCTTTTGTTGGGACTAGAGCACTTCCAACTTTGATCAATTCCACCATGAATGCAATCGAGGTACTATTCCAATATTGAGAAACTTTTAGATCTTTGAAATGGGAAAGAAAAGCATAACTGTGCCTTCTCGTTAGTTTCAAACTGAAATTGAATATAATCAAGAGCATCTGATTTTTGTGGTTTCCCTATCTTATAATATGGGAGTTTTGAGAATTCTAATTGTTGTTACATTTCAAACATGAGTAGGCAACTCTTGGATACCTTGGACTCTCTCCTTCAAAGAAAAGGGTCGTCAAGATCCTCCAAGGTGTGAGTGGAGTACTAAAACCATCAAGGTACGTTCTTACAAATCAAACCTTAATTAAGGATGAAAATCATCGGAAATAATAGTTCATGAATATATTTGATTTTTTTCATTTATGTTTGTTTATTAAACTTAAAAAAATGATCACAAACAACATTTCATGATTCGCTAATTAAATGAAAAGATTATGAACATAACAAAATTCATTCATGTTCAATTTGTTTGTTTGTATAAATGAATAGAGCATTTGACAAACAGACAATCAAACTAACAGACTCCACTTCTATTCGTTTACTATGCTTAACAAACGATCACAAATAACATTTCATAGTTTGCTAATTAAACGAAAAGATCATGAACATGGCAAAGTTCATTCCTATTCGGTTCATTTAGACCCCTATTCTTGATGGATAAATGCTATATCTTGCTTGGAACTTATTTCATATGATTTAACCGTTGTTATCTACCTCAGGATGACACTACTCCTTGGGCCTCCTGCCTCAGGAAAAACCACACTGCTGCAAACACTAGCTGGGAAACCAAAGGATGATATAAGGGTTTGTTTCCATAAGTCATGAATTTGTTTAACTTTTATTTACCATCTCCATTTTACTGATGATAATTTTGGATGTAAACAGATAACTGGCAAAGTCACCTACTGTGGCCATGAATTTTCAGAATTTATACCTCAGAGAACAAGTGCTTATATCAGCCAGCATGATCTTCACAACGGTGAGATGACTGTCCGTGAGACATTAGATTTCTCAGGGCGTTGTTTGGGAGTGGGAGAAAGGTATGAAATGTTGGCAGAACTATCAAGAAGAGAGAAGGAAGCAGGCATTAAGCCGGATCCAGAGATTGATGCATTCATGAAAGCTACAGCAATAGCTGGACAAGAAACTAGTTTGATTACAGAATATATTCTCAAGGTTTGTTGCCTCTATTTTGATTTTATGTCTTTTCTCTTGATTCTTCAATGAACAAACCTAATCATCATATGGATTTGTAACAGATACTTGGACTGGATATATGTGCTGATATCTTGGTGGGAGATGATATGAGAAGAGGCATTTCTGGTGGACAAAAGAAACGTGTAACAACTGGTATATATGCGTTAATTTTACATCTGCAGTCATTATAAAGATGGATTGATTCAAACTTTTAGTAGTTTTTTTTCTGAAAACCTTAGCTTATACGACTTGTCTGAGTGCAGGAGAAATGCTGGTTGGGCCAGCAAAAGCATTTTTCATGGATGAAATATCAACAGGGTTAGATAGTTCCACCACATTCCAAATTGTTAAGTATATGAAGCAGATGGTTCATATTATGGATATAACCATGATCATTTCCCTCTTGCAACCTGCACCTGAGACATTTGATCTCTTTGATGACATTATCTTACTTGCTGAGGGTCATATTGTCTACCAAGGTCCTCGCGATACAGTTCTTGAGTTCTTTGAATATATGGGATTCAAATGCCCTGAAAGGAAAGGGGTTGCAGACTTTCTGCAGGAAGTAACTTCCAAAAAGGACCAAGAACAATACTGGTTCCGAGAAAACCAACCGTATAGATACGTCTCAGTACCTGAATTTGCACAATCCTTCAACTCCTTTCACATTGGCCAGCAGCTTTTAGAAGATCTTAGAGTTCCTTTTGATAAATCAAAAACTCATCCAGCTGCTTTAGTGACAAAGAAGTATGGGATTTCGAACAGGGACCTCTTCAAGGCTTGCCT